CATGAATCTGCAGATACGAAGCGATAAGCGTGATCAGCGATCGCCTTTTTGCGGTTTTGAGAAAAACAAAAATGAAATAACACAAAATGCGTAAATGAACCAAAAACGAATAAAAAGAGTTAAGAGAAAAATTTTTAAAAAAGCCAAAAAAAATGTGATAATATTTAATTAAAATTTTTTTAATTAATTACTATAACATAAATTAAATTAATTTCAAGTTAAACGCTTTAATAAACTGCTTTCACTGTAAAAATCATGAAAACAAGCTACAAATCCAAAACTGCATAATAAACAAAGTCTAGAAAAGTACCGTTATAGTTTAGTCGATTTTMATAAGACAGCATTTTTAATAGAAATGTCATTTTCGGTGTTCACATGCATWTGCTAAAAGCTTATAGACGCCATTTAATTTATACAATTATCAAATTGTCTGCAGTCAAGCTTTAGYCGGTAGAGCAAAAGTGCTAATTAACTCAATTAGGGCGCTGTCTGCAAAACTTTTTTCCTCATTAGCTTACATTGTTTTGACAAYTTCAATTTCATTTATTAAGTGAATATGTGCTATATAAAAAGGAAAAACTAATGACAAAATATTTTTACGCGATTTATATTAGTTTGGATATAGAGTAAACAAYTAATGTTTTCATTTTTATTAATTTCAGTATTAACTACACAAWTCATGTTTTAATTTTTTAGTGAATGGATGGAAATTTCTAAACCACTATGCGAAATAGCTCAAAATCTTTAGTATTTTTCGGAAAAAAAGAACCAAGTAAATTTAGTTTAAACCACGTTTGAAAGGTTCAGTTAGCGGATACAATTAAATTGCAAATTGGAAATGACTTTCTTTAATATCTGAATGTGCTCAATTTAGTTTAAACAGTTAGAGTTTTGAGGTGTTCTAAAAAAAAAAATTTTTGTTTTTTTTTTGGGGAAACTTGTATGTGAACAAAATCAATCATAATAAGTTTAATTACTTTATGTAGCAGGGAAAAACCTAATTTTGCAAACAGCTATTGATRTACGAGTAGTTTTCTAAAGAAAACATTTGATATTATGTCACTTGTTTTATTGACCATACGATTTCCAATTAAAAATCGATTTGCTGCCCTCACTGAACACKTTACTATCAATTAATTGCAGTTTATTTATTATGCACTTGAGTATTTTGATAATCATTAAATTGGATGTTAAAGTGATAACAATTAGCCCTTCAATTGACAAATAAATACTAATTATCCAATTAGTAGAATATTGGAAACTTATTTATTCACCACAATTTAAGGTTATGAGCATTTTTGTCATTAAAGATCGATTAATTCGAACTACTTTGACTGATTATCAAATTTTTGACGCAGAGATAGCCATCGCTCAGCTACCTTACTCGACAGCTTTAGTTGCCTGTGACCTTCTTTCAAAACTAAAAATGCGACATGAATCAATTAACCCAAAATAAAAAACCGCCAGACAAAAATTCAGGTCGTAAACCGACAGCTGGCAAAACTAATCGAGGTAGACATTGGGTTATATAWATTTATATAAATGRTCAGAATGACAAGCTTAGTTAAAAWCTGGGTGACTGTCTGTCKGTCAGTACGTCCGTCCTTGGCAAAAARATAATGACAACTTCGTAAATGGGTGTAATCGGACCACTGCCGCGCCCTCAAAACGCCATTAACCGAAAACGAGTAAGTTGTAAAGGTATGAAATGTTCGGTTATACGCGAACTTAGCTCTTCCTTGCTTGTTTTCTATCAATTCGGTTTGCAGGCGCTGTTTAAATGAGCCAATTTGATCTTAAGTGCACTTTTTTTAAATTTAATTCTTCATAAAATTAATGATACTTTGGAGGCCAGGATGAAGGAGAATTTTTTTATTAGACATTTTGTCAATTTAATAAATTTGGAAAAATTTTGTAAAATTAATTTTTTCGTTTTTGTTCAATTCTTGAGAAATGAAATAATCGAAAGCACAAAATGTGTTTGAAACTTTATTTGAAAATTAAATAAAAAAAACTWAATTTACTTAGAAAATTAAARTAATTTGTAACAAAAAGTTGAGAAGAAACAACTGAACTTAGGAATATTTCAATTCCTTATTTGATCGGTTGGTTCGATGTATGCTATATACGCGGCACTTACTAATTAAATACYCTACTTCCTAATAATGCTCAGTTTCTTCCCATAACCTACTGACTTAATACAACTAATTTACGCAATTTTCAACAAGTTTTCTAAATGTTTTGTAGTAAGTTTTCTATAAACAATTGATACTGCGCACGCCTGCTTTTATTATTTATACATTTCAGCCTGTTGTTTTGGCTTGCTSTTGCGCTAAGCACCATTTGTCATTAATTAGCTTATCGCTCACACTTTAAGACATACTATAGTATATATTTACATAATTACATGTACTTATAGTCTACATTTTTTATTTGCTCATATGCATATAATATACATTGTTTGTAAACACTTTAGTTATCTACAATATACATTTGTGCTTAACTAAAGCTTATTCTAAATGCAAATAGTCGTAGTATTTTTTTAACCTGAACCTGTAGAAAAACCTCGATCCTCTTTATTTTCTTTGTGTATTATTTCAGGGAACTTATTTWTTTGCGTTTACTGCTGTTACATAATCACTAAATATTCACTTTGTTGTCGGCACACACACCAAGCAAATTAATATTGAACTAAAAACACAAAAAAAAAAAACAAACTCAAAGATAGAAGAAAAAAGTTCATATTCCTCTGTCTCTTATACACATCTAGATGTGTATAAGAGACAGATAAAAAACCGCCAGACAAAAATTCAGGTCGTAA